CAAATGCAATGCAAATGCAATGCAAAGAATATATAAGTGTAGATAAAATTTCACATCATGAATTTCAAGTCAAGTTCTCAAATTCCCCAGCAGAGTCGCCAGAAACTGTAGCCTACATTTCGTGCTCCTTTCGGATACGACTGGCCCTACAATTCGGACTCTCATGGTTCTGATTCTGATTTCACAAGTAGAATGTGAGATAGATAAACACAAATGAGTCCAAATCTGGTAAATCTTCTGGTAAATCGATTTTGAATTAAATGCCAAAAATGGACTGCTTTGCCAGATTTTAGAGTTGTCACCTAAATATTTTTAGGAATTTTAGAAAACCCGTGACTCGTGCCAAAGGCCATTAGCCCATCATCACCAAAGTGTCTCGGCTCGGGAACTTAGGTATGAGAGGGAAAGGTCATGAATTGAGCACCCCACTCACCCGATCAAAGATCGGCCTCTACTAATCAGGATGTGATTTTTATTTACATTATATGCTTTTGTCCTGGTTATTATTTTAACATTACTATGTATTGCACACAAGTATAGATCAAGTTGCAAAATTTGGAACATTTTGATTTTATGTTCGTTTGAAAATTGTTTTTAATACGCGTCACTTGAAAATGTGAGTTTGTATATACATTGATCAATTTATCCCAATTTTAGCAATTAGTTATCATCCATTGGCATTCAAAAAAGTATATCACTTAAACAATTAGACTCATGGAAAGCATGCTCAATATGGCAACACGAACATACAATGTGATATGCTAAAATGCAAAATGCTCACCTAGTACTCCAAGGCAAGCCAACAAAGCAAAATAATTAGAAAACAAGCATGCCCCTAAACAATGCAAAATGACTAACGTAACACATACAATCAAGCAATTAATAGGCTCGGCCACTAGCATGGTATATGAACCAATTCAAGACATGCGATAATCATGTATTCATTTAACAAAGTTGAATGTGATATTGGTTAGTATGATGAGCTGGACCCAAATGCATGTGAGACGTGTGTATGCAAACATGGGGGAATACAAAGGAAACATGATACTCTATACTACCATTATAAGCGGGTAAATAAAAGGAAGAAAGAAACTGGGTTGGGAGACATACACCATTATTACATATTTTTACCCTCGCGCAGGAGGGTCCGAATAAGTGTCCAAGTGTCTGGATTAATAGCTAACTATTACAACATCAAACGAATGAATTGAGCTAAACTAGCTACTTATTACCTATTAGAATGAATTCTAATTTAACTAGTTATCTAATGTTATTACAACAAGGGTATTGTAACAATACTAACTACAACAATAATATACAAATGAAATTGCAACCATAATATTTACAACAACAATACTTAGAATAATAATAACAATACAACAATGATAATTACAATGATGCTAATAAGAATATTAATCCAAGCAACCATGAGGCACGATGATCGCATGCACAGTGCCCAGAAGCTGTTCTGTCTGCCCAGACTGCTCTGCCTCACCTTTAGCCACTGTCCTCTGTTACTGCAAAAGGTTACTGCTTACCACACATTGGAGGTCGACTGATCGGCCCTAATTTTCATGCCAAAATCTGTTTTGTGCTCTGAGTTGAGGACAGTGCAGACAGAGCCTTTCTAGGCCCTATTTGTCCCTCCTGCTCTTCTTTGCCATGTGAAACTCAAGAGAAGAACAAATTCACGTTCGAAACCATCAATTAGCACAAGCAGATGGCTTGATGATCCCGAGCACATTTACACAAAATTGATAAATGTGATGAACAATGACCACCCCTCCCTTCTATCATGAATGCCCAAAAAGGGAAGTAGACACGCTCTAAGTCTTATCAACGTATCTTGGATTGATAAGCAACAATTCTCGGAGTGATGGACTTGGCATAACTTCCGGCCAAATCCAACCAACGCTAAACATTTTCTTTATGTTGGTTTAGTTCATTTTAAACCGATTTTATTAGTCCTTTCCATTCTTTAATCAATTAGTCCAAAGTGATATTTAAGTCCACTAAATGAAAAAATATGTCAAACGAGAAGTGATCCTTAGCATGAAAGGGAGACTACTCCTTGACGATGAGCCTCCGTAGAGATTAAGCCATTGAGCATATGTCTCTTTCTCATGCCTTGAATAACAATTAATCATTTGAAATAACTCTCAAATGAAAGAAAAGAAGAAATGAGGGAGAGCGCATAAATGATTGTGCGAGATCGATTATTAAAATGAGACTCTTGATATGAAAACTAAGTAAAGAAAAGTGATCAACTCGAACGACTCGGTGTCTAAGGCCTAAACAACCGAAGTCATGAGGACTTACAACACAACAAGCTACATATTCAAGGCATAACCTATTTAAATAAATTAGGACAATCCTAAACAACCTCTAATATGTGAAAACGGTGGCTAAAAGTTATGTAAAATAGCACAAAAAGATGGGAATAATACATAGACACAAAACTAGTAAACAAGGGCAACGAGAGGTGGCCAACCCTTCCATTTTTGAGACCTCTAAACCATGTTTTTCAGCCCTTTTAAACTCTGAAAATCAGTTTGAAAACCAAAGAAAAGAGTACAAGAACAAGAGGTATGAGCTATGAATTAAGGTGTAAGAAAGGGTGTTAAGCCTTTCTACCTTTCATAGCTATTCAACCCCAAGTTCCAACACTTGAAATGGATTCAAAACAACACAAAAACACTAGAAATAGATACAAAGAGATAGAAATGAAAGCAAGGAGAAAGGTGGTAAGCTTATATCTCTTGAAGAGCATAAGCTTATATCTCTTAAAGAACATAAGCTCTTGTTGCAAGCCAAACTCAATCCAAAGGCACTCTCAAGTGTGGCTTGTGATTCACAAGTTTGTACCAAGGCTCTAAGGCTTTGTTCTAAGGTTGTTTATGGTATATAGATATGGTTTAAGGATGTCAAATATCTCAAAGCTAGCTTGCACAAGAATGAGAAGCTCACAAAGATGTTTTGGCTTTTTAAAATTTTTTCTAACTCTTGACACAGTGGCTTAGGCTCATATTTATAGAATTTGAGCAAAATAGGTCAAAAATATCTTCAAAAAAACCCAGTTGGTTGATTTCCGCCCAGAATAGTGTTTCTAGCCAAAGAAGGCTGACCGGCTCCCAATGGCTACAGGCGGCTCCCAATGAGGCACGGCCGGCTCCCAATATGCTCCCCTGTTCCTCTGTTCCAGGTTCTGTGTAGGGTAGCACAAGGTTCAAAAATGAATCTCTGGGGTACAAATAGTGTAAATATGGAAAGTTTGCGATTGTTTTCAAAGCTTGAATGTAGATCCTTCATTAAGACTTAGAACCACACACAACGCAACTTTCATTATCGAGCACGTAGGACAAAGCGCTCAAGTCTTGCGGGCAATCAAAAATGGGGTGTCTACAGTTGCCCCTCTTTGACAGAGCTCAAAGTCATGGAATGATGTGAGTGATTGTCAAAACCCAGAGACGACCCATTTGACGAGGCCATAAGACTTGGGTAAGAAATCAAGACGTAAATGCAATGATTGAACTTGAGGGCAAAGTGCAACATGATTTGCAGAAAACAAATAACTTATGATCATGTCATGAAACAATGCAATGAAACATTTAAATGAAAATACCAAGCGACGAAACAATGCCATAAGTAATAGTAGAAATGCAACGTCTGAATGAAAGCAAAACAACTCAAGCCATGTTTCACATGAAAAGAGATGAGCAAACAAACACGTCTCACATGAAAAGGATAAAGAAAGTGCAAACCAAACCATATCCCATGCAAGAAAGATGCGAACTTAACTACGTCTCATGCAGGAAATGCGGAGGGCGATGTAACCACCAGGCAAGCCCGAGGTTTTCAACCGAGGAACTCAAGATCCTAACGTGTCTCGCGCGAAAGGAGGGAAGGTGGTGTGAACAAATAGGCGGACCTGCTGTTTTTTAACCGAGTGAAAACAATCCTAATACGTCTTACTGAGATAAGGAAGGGTGGTGTGAACAAATAGGCGCACCTGTTGCTTTTAACCAAGTGAAACAATCCTAACGCATCTCACGAATTGAAATAAAATGAGTTGAGATAAAAAGGGGATTAAGATAGCATGAATGGTGATATAAAACTTGGCATAGCATGGTTTGCAAAAGAATTGTAAATGATTTTGTACAGGCATTGTATATACACATCATATTTATATCTTTGTTAAGATTCATATATTGTGTTAGATTGTTTCTACTGGGCTTTGACTCACCTTATCTGGGAAAAACTATTTTCAGGTGCTGGTGATATATCTCCGCCAAGAACTTAGCTTGAGAGGACTGTGAAGCCGAAGGCTCGATTTTGTTTATTTTGTGTCTAACTTTTGTAAAAGCCTAGGGCTTTATTTGTATTGAGCTTCTGATTCATTTTGTTGTAACCAAGCACAGTCCTGGAAAGATGTAAGCCATTAGGGCAAATGAATATCTGTCTAACTCTATTTTCCCATTATGTCTCGTAACACATACTGTAGATTCAGGATGAACGGTTTATGAATGTATATCGCATATGTCACTTTTGTATATTTATTCTGATTAATGAAAGCTTCTTATTTTGTTTATATCACATTACACTAGTGTTTGGAGTTGGTTTATTGTAGTTATTTTTGGGGCGTTATGGAATACATCCCCTTTCCAGAATCACTCTTTATTTCTCAAAAACATTATGCATGTACAATGTATTAAAGATATAATCATGCTCAGATTCTTGGTGAATTCTGAATTTAAAGACATTGTATTAAAAGAAAAACTAAAAGATTGTATGGGCACTGTAGAATACAAAACGCATGCTCAACAATAGGAAAATAATTTTCTAGAGTAGGTTGGTGAAAAAGAAAAGAAAGTAATTCTCACTTGTGTTTTTTGTAAATGTTTTATTATCATTAATAAAATATTACTTTTTTGCTGATAAAAAGAAGAAAAGTAATTCTAATTATACTTGTAGAGTAACTTAGAATTGGCAAGTAGCTGAAATTGTAATGCAATAGTACTAATATATATAAATAAATATATTTCAGACATACCTCCATCCTGGAATGTAAATTGACTGTGCGAATTGGATTATAAGGTCACCTAGTTCAGTTTGGAGTTGGAATATTTTTTTTCCTTCTTCATAGTTACTACCAAATGCTGTCCGAGAAATCACATCGCCTGTCACATTCTGAAGATAAGGCCATACTTCAACCTCACATGACTCTTTTTCTGAGACTAGCACTTCCCATTTGCTTATCATCTCACAACAACTTAAGCACATTGCTGGTACCATATGCTATATAACAAACATAAAAGACATAGTTAAGCACAGCTCAAGAAGGCATCAAGTTTAGGTTGAGGCATTGTTGAGGTTCAATAAACAATTATGAGACACTCAAGTTGCTAGTCTTGGGTATAATATAAACAATTGTAGCGCAATAATAAACTGTTAGCACAAAAAATTATTAGTAGTCTCAGAATATCACGAGTTATATTACTTAATGCTTCCAACAAATGAGGAATAGAAAAATACACTAAGTAGTTTATTCTTTGTCTCTCGACTACCTAATAAAGATGGATCAACATTGTCTCACTAGTGAAATTTTCCGCTATGTCATTAATTAGGAGCACTATGCGAATAATACCACGTGGTTGTCTGGGACTATTGAATAGTTACTCGTGTTAACGGAATGGATGGATATGGGTTTAGTCTTTGTTGTTGTTCCTAAACAAAAATGAAAAAACAAATGGATAACAAAGGAAAATCAATGGCTAGGTATAAAAAAATTTTGCTCTTCTCAAAAGTTTTAAAATTCATCCAAACACACATTCTCATATCATATATGCATCCAATTGTGTTTAAACAAAAGCCAAGATTAGAGATTAATTACCTTCAACTTTTCTAGATGAAAGGCTGGGTTGAGAATGTTTCTGTGCTTAGCCCATTTCTCGCCCTCACACAACAAAACCCCTCTCACTAGGAACTTGGCAAGTGGGTTTTGCACTTTTTTATGAAAGACTTAATAGTTAAACAAGATCTCCTTTATCAGTTTAGGATCTGCAATACTTACTTGTGGTGTTGGGCCCAGCCATTGGAAGTAATGTTTGCCTGAAAATTATTATATTTTGTCTTGTCATTATTTTCAAATTTCAAGAGTTATTATATCAAACTAGACAATCAACTATTTAAGAAAGTACAACAAGGTATATTACCTATAAGCTCAACATATCATATCAATATAAGAAAGAGCTCCAAAGTAGGGAAAAAAAAATAAAGAACATAAGAAAGAGTCCCCTTATAGAGAAGAAACAACCAATTCAATCTTTGTTGATGATCCCTTGATCTCTTAGTTGAGAGTCTATAGGGTAAAACATACTCAAAGGTCATGTAACAATCAATAGAAAACAACCAAATATAGAAAATAAAGGAACTTGCCTATACTTATGGCTGCATTAGTAAGACAAAATTAGGTACCAATTTTCATAACTAATACCAAAAGTCCTCCTAGTTAGTAGTAAATATTGGGTATAATAGTAATTCTGTGCGATAGTTCACATGTAGCAGTTAATGTCGCATTTTTCATCTGAAATTGGACGGACGTTAGCTTTTAGAATAAGTTGAGAAAAATTAAAAACGTTAATGAAAGTGGGAAGAAGAAACTCCAGGTAAAAACTAAGAAAACATTGAAACCTAAAAGGAACAAAGTATAATTTAGGGACGTGTGGGATACCATGAAGGTTGATGTTATGATGGTGGAACCGTAGGACGTGTGGGATAAGATCGTCTGAGGATGAATCCATGGATGTGGATCTTGATTCCCTCATCATTGATATCATCTCTTTGGTGTCTCCATACAACAGTTTGTATGGATTTCCCTTGAAACCTTGCTCTCTCAGCCACCTCTCTTTCTGCTTTGGCCTCAACCACACCCAGTTCACTACCCTCCACGCACATGTTAGGAAAGTTACCAAAGCAATGGAGGTAACAATAGAGCTTACTGTTACTTCCATATTGGGCACTACCAGTACTACCTTAATTATCTAGCAAATGTTCCACAATAGGTTGGTATAAATAGGATGCTGTACAGATGTACTCTGGACCGTATGATCACTGTCATCATTGTCACAAAAACAATATGGAGAAGTTATTTACGGGTCACTCTTGTACACTCTCAACTAAAAGGTCAGGGTTAATTCTTGTCGTAGGCAACTATTGGTTATTTATTTCCTATTATGGACTTTTTCTTGTAATGGTTGTTATTGTTGGGCTTGTTTTTCTTGTTGGACTGATTGTCCAGTTTAATATAATCTTTTGATATTTGTAAATATTCTTCTACCGATTGACCAAAAAAAAAAGTAAAATTAAGGAGAATTCCGTTATTTAGTAGTCCTAGGCACGCCACGTAATACTTAATTTGATAATTATTATTTAAACTTGAACCTGTTCAGAAAACTATTATAAAGACTCTTTATTAAAGAGTATGCTACGACGTATTCAATGCAAAAAAATAATCGTAGCATTATCCCACTATAAAATGTAATTTAAATAAATGTATGTAATAATTTGGTTTAAAATATTTATATGTATGCCTCGACGTATATATAGAATTATTGAAAAAAAATATGATTTGATGTATGAAATCTAAAAAAATAAAACATATATGATATGGGTCATTTGTCTCATATTTTAAATGTATGTACAAACGAAGTTGTTGTATTAATTTAGGAAGCAACTGTTTTTAAGAAATCAAAAAATATTTTTCAAGTTCTAGATGCAATTTTTTTGGGCTAAAAGATTCTTTGTTAAAAATAATCTTTAAATATAATTAACACAATATGTTAAACAAGAATCTGTAAAATAATTTAAATTATATGAATGATTTCATCTTTTTATTTTAAAATTTGAGAACAATTTATTTGGTTGACTGACCTATGATGAGAGATTAGAAATATATATAGATATTTGATGGATGTATTTAGTTTATGCAAAAAATCTGAGTGAAAGAGAGAGGATGCATTATTTAATTAAATTAGATAAGCTTGAGCTTGATAAAAAAATAGATACAGAGGGGGCTAGAGAGTTGACTTTTGGGAATAAACATTAATAAGAATGTAGGCTTATTTTGAGGAATTGTGATATTAGGATATGATTATATGACATTTATAAAAAGGGAAATGATTTGTAGCTCTAAAATCCTCACCCCTAATTTCTATTTCTGGCAACTGTTTCCTTTTTTTTTTTTGGGGAGAAGATGGTTCCTTACAGTTTAAACAAACTAAACATATTTAAGTGTTGATTGAAACTGTTATTAAACTTTTTTAAGGGGTTGTTTGGGGTGTCATAAATAAGTGTACTTTTTGTCTTTTTAGATTAAAAAGATGAGAAAAAAAATATGGATGTTTGGATTAATTTTTTGTCTTTTTATGAAAAAATTTGTAATAAAAAATTATATAAATAAAGTGTGTAGTGGAAGATTAATTATTGATTGTACGGCTGCCTCGGCTGCCCAGCCTGTGTATACAAAAAAAAAAATAATAAACTGCTTTGGGGCAAATAACTTTTGGATAGTGATGGTCGGTCCGTGGGGGCCATCATGGGTCCCATTTTAATAATCTGAACCGTTTAATATGTACAATTCGTTGAATATTATATGTTTGTAAAAAATCACGTTGATTGGATATCGATAACTATATAATTAGATTAGTTTTTTTTCAACAGTTAATTATCACACCATCCGTTTTGTTTATACAAAACTGATTTGATCATATAGTTAACGATATTCGATCAAGGTGATTTTTTACAAAAATATATTAATCGACGAATTTTACATGTTGAACGGTTCAGATTATCAAAAGGGAGTCCTTAGTGAGCCTCCATGGGCTCAACATTTTTGTGACTTTACATATAGTATTTTTTTTTGGTCCCAAACTTCGGGGCAAATGCCTGTCAGACGGCAAATAATTGGCTGCTGTGCATTTGAAGTGTAAATATATATAAAATATATTTTTAATATTTTTTATTTGTGAATAGTAATTTTTTTTGTTGCTTTTTATGTAACTTTTTGACTTTTTAAATTTTTTTGAGGATGCCAAACTTGGCCTAAATACTATTTTTTTTTTTTTTGGTAAGTAAATAAAAATTTTATTATCAAAAGAAGAAATATAAAACAAAGTTCAGAACCAGTCCTAAAAGGCGTCACTACAAACAGCAACATCCTCAAAACACCAGGAAAACAAACTAAAAACTAGCAAATAAAACAGCAAACAAAAGCCTAGGCAAAAGAATAAAGACTTACAACACAAGCCTAGGACACTACTTAATTAGTTGACTCAATCATTAATTAGTTGGCTCTGATCTTTATAATTAATTTGTTGGTTCTATATCAGCTCTAAATTGGAAGGCATGGACATTTCAACAGATCTACACGCAAACCCAAAACATTAAAATAGCAGTCATCCTTGAATAGAGTATGAGCCAACATTCTGGAAGGTCAAAATTGGAAACTAATCGGTCAAGTGTGGCACCTATTAAGGGGTTGTTTGGAATGTTCTAAATAAATACATTTTTTTATTTTTTATAAAAAGATATGTAGAAAAGTAGAGAGGAGATGTTGATTGATGTGACTCAAAAAGATAAAAAGTATGGACTTATTTAGTCTTCCCAAACTAAGCCTAAATATCAGCTCTAAATTTAAAGACATGGATATTTCAACAAATTTACACACAAACATTTGTATAGTTTTCAATTAGGCATTAAATCAAACAACAATGCAACCAACCAATATCTCAGATGATTGATTGTAACCATTAGTTTAAAACTGTCAAATCGGATGAATGAACACAGATTCAACCACTATTAAGAATTAGTTTACCCAAGTAGTTTAATCCAAGTCTTGTAATGGAATTTATTGGCAATAAAGATCACTTTCAAGAATATGTTTAATCTGGTTATGGTTTTCAAGTCGGCATTATGGCGTGGAGTTGGGGTGGGGTGGGGTGGGGAGGGAATGGTGATAGTGGTGGCAGGATCTGAGAGAGGCCTAGGCAGAGAGAGAGAGCGGAGGAGGTGTTGTTGTGGAGATGGGGATAAAGGGAGAAGAAGAGGAAGCTGGGTTTCAGAGAACAGGTGCTGTTTTCTCTCTCACTCTCAGACAATTTGAATCAGCTTCATCGCCCTTATTCGATTGTATGCATATATATATATATATATATTGACATGTCAATCTCTTATCTGATGATTTGATACCCACTGATTGAGCGAGCTACTCAGATCAGAGTCAAAAGTGTCTTCCATTCATTTCTTTCAGACTCCAATCCAATCGGCCTCGGAATTCACAGGTGCAGCCTTCTGAAATATAGCTGTCTCTGTGCTAAGCCTAGTTGTTGCTGAAAGTGGCCAAGCTGACTTACAAGGTGGAGAGTTTCTTGTGCAACCAGACGTCTTGCCCTCCACCTGTTCGACAAAATGCCTCAGTGAACTCTGCTACTAAGAAGTCTTAAGATGATTAAGCAGAAAGAGAGAGAGAGAGACAGAGGGACAAAGAGAGAGACAGAGAGGGCAGCAAGCTATCAATGAAGAAGGGCAAACTCGTTAAGAGCAAATTAGCGAAGAATAAATCAAAATGTAAATCTGCTAAGTGCAAATCAACCGAGGTCTCCTTGCAGGAGTTTGATAATTAGGTGGATGGTCAAACATCTACCGATGAGATGCCTGCTGTACTCCCCCGCAGGTCCACGCATTCGAGGAGCCCTCAAATTTCTCATACCTGGAGATTTTGTGGGACCATGGCAAAGGCCCTCAAATGAAAACAAAAGGGATTTAAGGGATGTGGAATTGGAGGATAGCTCAATTGAGTGTGATTGTGTCGATCTATGTTTGTGTGGAAATCTTGGTACACCACGGTTGCAATTGAATGTGGAAATGCAAGCCTCAACTGAGCAATCATCAAAGCAGCATCAAACACCTAACGCGTGGAACACACCAACTAGAGTGCTAACTGATCTTGAGCAGTGGCCAAAATTGGCCATTGTTTCCCCACTGACAGCAAATGAAATGATAATGACAAATAAACTTGGCTCTCCCAGTGTTGATCAAATGAGAGAAGTAATTGGCACCAAGCAATAGAAGAGTGTTGAAAATGTGCGAGCTTGTAGAAATGAGGATTTGGTTGAACTACATATGGAAGACACACAATCTAGCAAGGGTGAATGTCTTGATGGTGATACAATTGCTATATCAGGTAAGCCTCTACAAGCTTGGAGCTCTTTACTTAAAGAAGAGGTTAACAAGGTGTCAAAAATAAAGTATAAAATAGGTGCCCATAAGATTGAGAACCTAGTAGATAGCATGTACAATGTCCCTATAGAGATCTCAAAAAAAGGCTTTTCTCATTAGGAAAATGCTTTGGTTGGATACTTCATTGATAAAAGATTCTCTTTCCATTATGTGAAAACTTGGACAGAGAAACTTTGGGGAAATTTGCTTGAAGATGTTGTCTTCATCAATAATGGGTTGTTTATTTTTAAATTAAAAAGTGAAGAGGTTATAGACAAAATTTTGGAAGATGGCCCCTATTACGTTGGGGCTAGATTGATTGTTGTTAAAAAATGGCAACTTGGACTAAAACTAACAAAGTGTGAATTTTCGAGTGTGCCATTGTGGGTGAAGTTGTATAATGTTCCTTTGGAGCTTTGGACTGAAGAAGGTTTGGGTTACATTGCTAGCATCATGGGAACTCCTCTTTATTTGGATGAGCCTACGTTCAAGAGAAGTAGACTTACGTTTGCGAGAATATGTATTGAAGTGTCAGCAAATAAAGAGATCCCTGAGTCTTTCAAAATAAATCTTGGTTATGGTGACCCATATGAGATTCAAGTTGAGATTCCATGAAAGTCTCAAAGGTGTGATGTTTGTAAGACTTTTGGTCATACCACTAATTTGTGCCCTCAGAAGCCAAAGACTTTGAACCCTCCATCTTCCAAACAAGAGTGGAGAGTCAAGGAGACTAACATACAAGTTCCAACTAAGTGGGAAGTGGTGAAGAAAAAGGAAGAGATGATGGGCAAGGTTCAACGATAATGATAAACAAAGAGGGAGAGACACAGCGTTTCACCCCATCAACATCTAATGCTTTTGATGTCCTTGAATCATGTGATATGAGAGAGTTGGGAAATGGAGAATTAAATCAAGAGTTGTTGTGTCAAACAAAGAGCCTAAAAAGTAGAGGGAGTCCATCTCCAAGTGATCCCATTAATGGGGAGACTACAAAGGAGGATAATAGAAGAAAACTCAAAGCGAAACTTCATTACTTGAAGAGTGCTAGAGGGAAATCTTGAATCCTTTGTTGTGTATGTTGTGTTTGTCGTCTATAGGCTTAATTTGTTTCTTTTGGGGTAGTTTGTTTTTGTTTATGTTTATTCTCCCTGCAAAAGATGTATAT